CCGTTTTTCTCAACTGTGCAGGTGGTGAAGCACAAGAAGTCGCCTCTCATTTCTCTGGGTGGTCTGCAGAACAAGGGTTGGATGAGCTAGTGTCACGCTTCGAGGCGTTCTGTGTGCCCCGCCAGAATGTTGTCCGTGAACGGTACAATTTCTACACTCGCGGTCAGAAGCCAGACGAGTCGGTCAGCCAATATCTATCGGCCCTTCGATCTCTGGCAGCAACGTGTGATTTCCCAGACGGGGACAACATGCTAAGAGACAGAATATGCATCGGCCTCCGTGACCAGAAAATACAAGCAGCGCTGCTGAAGCGAGCTGATTTGACCCTTCAGATGGCAATCGACATAGCGCTATCCGAAGAAGCCGCCAATCGTGATCTCAAGGTGTTTGGAACTGAGTCCCACAGTGAGCAAACAGACAACTTGGCCGCCGTCTCTGGACACAACCGGTCCCAACCGACCTGCAAGTGCAAGTTCTGCGGCCGTGATCACCCAATGGTTCGGTCTCGCTGCCCTGCATGGGGCAAAGCCTGCCTCGCCTGCGGGCAGGCCAACCATTTCGCATGCAGTACTATCTGCGGCTCCCGGCGTCCCCCGCCCGGCTCTGGCGGGCGCGGACCAGTTCGCCAGCCAGCGGCCCGGCCGCTGTCTCTCGCCGCCACCGTGGGCGCCGCCGGCGCCGCCGCCGCCGGCCGCGATCAGCTGACTGCGACTCCGCCAGCCGGCCAGCGCCGCGACCCGCCTCCCGGCGCGTCAGGTGCACATCAACATGAGCACTGGGACGTTTTGTCGACAGCTGCCCATTCCGGTGAGACACCCACAAAAGCACACAAAACTTTGACCGCCTCGGGAAAATCGGTAACGTTTCTGATAGATTCCGGCTCCGAGTGTGACGTGTTGACATGGACAGACTACGTGCGTATCACCGACGATCCACAGGGCGCATGTTTGAGACCGTGCCATACCGTTCTGCGCATGTATGACGGCGCTCTCGTGTCATGTGAGGGGAAAAGGTCCCTGTGCTTTACTAACCCCGTGTCTCGGAGTAGGCACATCCTTCAGTGTAAAGTTGTGAACAGTGCTATCTCTTCCATACTGAGCCTGAACACGTCAGTCCAGCTGGGCCTGATTGACGTCCGCGACTGTGACCCACTGGACTATGTCCCTGCCCCGCCCCCGCCGGCCGTGACCCCAGGGGGTGACCTCGCTACTGAACCGGGTCACGGCCCTCCCAGAGCTCGTCCCTCACCCGGGCCACCGCGGTCGGGGTGTGTGAGTGACGGTCAGTCGCGCATCAAAGCTGAGTATCATGACGTGTTTGACAAAAGTAGCGTGGGACTAGTGGCGGACAACTATGAAATTGTGACAGATCCGTCCGCTATCCCGGTAGTGGAAGCTCCCCGCAGAGTGAGAGTGCACGTGCGTGAGAAACTTAAGAAAAAACTGGACGATCTCGAGACGCTAGGCGTCATTTCTCACATCACTGAGCCAACTGACTGGGTCTCAAATCCTGTGATAGTGGATAAACCGAACGGGGATATTCGCCTATGCATAGACCCCCGTTTCCTAAATCGAGCTGTGAGGAGAGAACACTATCCCACACCCACTGTGGACGAGGTAACCGCCCGGCTCACGGGAGCCAAAGTATTCAGTCTCGTGGATGCATCCTGTGCATTCTGGCAGATTGGGCTATCAGCTAGGTCGGCGCGCCTGTGCTGCTTCCACACGCCATTTGGACGCTATATCTGGAACAGGCTGCCATATGGCGTGAAGTGCAGCTCCGAAATTTGGCAGAGAATGATGCATGAGCTCATCAGGGGTCTTGAGGGTGTGGAGGTCATAGCTGATGATTTTGTAGTTTTTGGTCGCGGCAACACGCGTGCGCAGGCCGAACAGGATCACGACCGCAATCTAGCGGCATTTCTAGCCAGGGCACGTGAGAGGAACCTTCGTCTGAACCCTGATAAATTCAGGTACAAAGTGACAGAACTGAAATGGATGGGTCACGTCTTGTCGGCTAACGGCTTGAAACCAGACCCAGCTAAAGTGTCTGCGGTGCGTGACTATCCGCCCCCCACGGATGTGCCCAGTCTCAAACGCTTCCTGGGGATGGTCAGTTTTTTGGCCCGCTACATCCCCAACCTGTCACAGACTGTATCACCTCTCCGTCAGCTCACACAGGCCAGCTTCGACTGGTACTGGAGCCCCCAGTGTGAGACAGCATTCAAAACCATTCAGCAGCTGCTTACAACAGCGCCAGTGCTCAAATACTATGACCCACATGACGAGGCTACAGTGCAGTGCGATGCATCGAGCCATGGCCTCGGCGCTGTCCTTCTGCAGCGGGGAAACCCAGTCATGTACTGCTCGCGCTCCCTTACGGTAGCGGAGCGAGCCTACTCGCAAATTGAGAAGGAGCTATTGGCCATTACTTTTGCGCTCACTCGCCTGGACCAATATCTGTACGGTAGGCCAGTGACAGTCGAGACTGACCATAAGCCATTGGTCGCGATACACAACAAACCACTCAGTGACGCACCACTTCGCTTGCAGAGAATGCTTCTCACACTGCAGAGGTACAACTTTCACATTGTGTACCGACCAGGATCAGAGATTCCTGTCGCTGATGCGCTTAGTCGTGCTCCAACTCAGCAACCATCCTCACTGTTCGCAATGGAGACCGAATCCCTAGAGTTGTCCAGTGGGATCGCGGTGTCTCCAGAGCGTCTAGAAGCCATACGGGCCGCGTATCAGTCTGATCCGGTCCTCCCACGGGTCGTCAAACAGGTACTGGCAGGGTGGCCGAAGCATCGGCGCCAGTTGCCAGACGCACTCCGGCCGTATCATGGCTTTCATGACGAACTTTTCACACAGGACGGACTGCTGTACAAAGGCAGGTGTGTGGTCATTCCCAGCGCTCTTCAGCAGGACCTTATCTCGCGCCTGCACCGTACTCATATTGGTTTGTCATCGATACTGCGACTTGCTCGGCAGAACGTGTTTTGGATCGGAATGACCAGCCAGCTAAAAGAAGCGATTCTGAAGTGCCCAACCTGCCTAGCCCATCGCCCGGCTCAGACGGCCGAGCCGCTATTGTCGCATGAGGTCCCCTCCCGGCCATGGGCGAAACTGGGAACGGACATTTTTGAACTTAATGGGTCAATGTACCTCGTGCTGGTAGATTATTACTCCAACTTCATGGAGATTGACCGCCTGACTCGGACTACTGTGACACATGTGACCTCAGCTCTAGCGGCCCAGTTCGCTCGCTATGGCATTCCAGAAACGCTGGTTAGTGACAATGGACCACCGTTCAGCAGCTGTGAGTTCAAAGCATTTCTGCGTTCCCTGGATATTGATCATGTTACCTCCAGCCCAGGCTATCCGCAATCGAATGGCAAGGCTGAGAACGCCGTGAAAACGGCGAAGAGTCTAATGCGTAAGGCTATCGCCTCCGGTGAAAACTTCCTTTGGGCGCTGATGACGTGGCGTAATTCGCCCAGTGAAGGGTCAGACATGTCGCCGGCACAGAAAATGTTTGGACGTGCCTGTCGGACGTTTTTGCCTACTCCCAGGTCAAACTTGCTTCCCGCGTACCCGACTCCTCTCCCGCGTGTTCTCGCTGACAATAAACTGCGCCAGGCGAAATATTACAATCGTCGGACGCAGCCCCTGGCCCCTCTGGTCGTGGGTCAGCCCATTCGGATGCGCCTCCCTGGACAGCGCACATGGACCCCTGGCGTCTGTACAGGAATAGCTGGGCCGCGATCTTACTGGGTGCGCGTGAATGAAGTGACCTATCGTCGCAACCGCCGCCAGCTGTTAGCCACCAATGACCCTCTGCCTGTACAGAGTGATCACTCGGACCCAGACGTGCTCGGTCCGCCACGGGAACCCACCGCGTTACCAGAGCCGCCTCAGACTCCTCCCGTCGCCACCGGCACGGGCGTGCGCCCGCTCGTCGTCCCGCCCGTGCCTCCTGGCGAACCGTGGATGGATGTGCCGTCATCTCCTCCGCTCCCGCCGTCCCCCGTCCATGCGCCTTACGCACCACTGACCGGGGCAGGCTCACCGCCGGTCATAAATCGCCGTCCCCAGCGCGAAAGGCGCCCGCCCGCCTATCTGTCCGATTACGTTAGATGAATCACTGTTCGTGTCAGTTCAGTTCGTGTTCACTGTTCTTGTCAGTTCGTGTCATTGTATGCTGAATGTGGCTGCGTACTTATCAGCAGACGGTAGAATGACCAAGCGTCATGAGAGGTATGCAATGTAAATATTTTGTCGTGTTTTATACTGTTTTGCGATTACCAGTACCTAGTGTTACAGTGCTCAGTCCTTCAGTGCCGCGGTATAGCTTCGTCGCACAGTAGCTTTGCGTAGCATTTGATGTGGTGCATTGCACATGTGTGTTCGTGTACGGACACCAGCATGTCCGTGATCTCGATATCTCATTGTCGCAGGAGAAGGGATGTGACGTATTGTAATTTGTAGTGTCCTGAGACGTGCTGTCATCTAACGGCAGAAAAGCGAACTCGTGGTTGACGGCAAGTGAGGGCGCGGCAGCCGGAGGGGTTGTAGAGTTAGACACCCGAGCTAGGGTTGGTCAGTGCTGTATAATATCTGACATTACTGAATACATATCATCGTCTTACGTTATCTGATATCTTAAGAACGTTACACTGGTGACACAAAAAAAAATCAAAAATTGATAACATGCCAATACATGATCATACTCCTCTCCCACCATTATCAAATTATTGATGCCTTTATGTTTTTATTCCAGAAGTCTAGCTTGTCCAACTGAGCTATTGATTGTGCAATTTAGTTCTTCTAGAATACATATGTAGAAATGGGAATGCTGGAGCAACATATTGATATTCAAACAGATACGTTTATCTTGATTTACTGGATACATTGACCAGGTATAGCATAGATAGACTTGATTACTCTACTAATATCATAGGCTGTTCTTCTTCTTACTAACCAATGAATGTTCTCTTTCAGATTGTGCAGCAAAGCATTTTAGAAGACAGACAGGCCTTCTTCCATTTGGCCCTCATCATTATTCAACAAGTGTAATTTTAGCATGAATGTCCTACAATTTCACCCATCTAGAATAATTTTATTGTTATGTGCATTGGTTGGTGTTATTACCATTCTTTATTTTCTTTCATCTTTTCATGCCCAGAGTTTGCAGGTAAATATCCACTCTTCAGCAGTTAAGTTGTATGGCAATTTGTCATCTCCTTGTGGATCCATTTCATCGTTTTTCAGCTTTGTATACATAATTAAGTGTAAACTGCATTCTGCATTTTTTTCAGTAGATCTTGTGTTCCTGCTGCTGCTGATCTTAAAATTGAATTACATTATCTTATTCCAAAGAGCTTTTTCAGTTTAAAGTATGCATTTGTTTTTCCCCTCAGTGCACTAAACAGAAAAAGAAGTAGGTCACTTTTGATAGCATATATGGTGATAATGATGTGCTTGGATTCAATTATTCCTTAGTAGCACATGTGTAATAGCTACCCTTCAGCCTTCTCTTCTACCAACTGTTGCATTGACTATACCCCCTCTTTCTCTCAGGATGACCCTGGCCTGTTCGACCCGGACGCCTCCACGGCGCCCGTGCTCCGGCCCGGCGTGCTCGGTAACTTTGAGCCGGCGCTGTCCGAGCCGGTCTCGGGACCGGGCGAGGGTGGGGAGGCCTACTCCCTGCCACCGGGCTCCAGCGGCGGACCCAGATCGGAGTCGGAGTACGGCATGAACATGGCAGTGTCGAACGCCATATCACCGAACCGGACCGTCCGTGACACCCGGCACCCGGAGTGAGTGCGAGGTGGTAGATATGGCACTTGGCAGGCTTGAGAGTTGCGGGATGGAGTATGAGAGCAGAGAAGGGAAGGATGGTGGGCAGATGGTAGGGAAAGATGATGGGTATGTGGGCAAGGAAAGTCATAGAATCTGCATGTAAGAAGTTTTCGGGGAGATGGATGAGTGAGACAGGATTAAGCGGAAAAATGAACTGACCGGGAGCTACCGTAAAAGATCAGAAAATGACCGACAAAATGACAGAAAATGACCGACAAAATGACAGAAAATGACTGACAAAATGACAGAAAATGACTGACAAAATGACCGGCGAGAGTTGACGGAGTGACGGAATCTGGCGGCAGGCCGCTCGTGCTCTAACTCCCCTCCCCCGTCAGGTGCCGGTTCTGGCACTACCCGCTGGGCCTGCCGGACGCCTCGGTGGTGATCGTGTTCCACAACGAGGGCCTCTCGGTGCTGATGCGTACCGTGCACAGCGTCATCAACCGCAGCCCCCGCCAGCTGCTCCGGGAGGTGCTGCTCGTAGACGACTTCAGTGATAAAGGTGGGTATCGCGGGCAGGACGGAAATGGCCTCACGGAAACGGATAAATGACACGGAACGGTACGGGTGCTGACTGCTGCTCGTTCCGTGGTTAGGTCTTGGTCACTTATCGGCCTTCTCATTTAATTTTACTCGTACTTCGATTATTATTTATCCGCTTTTCATGGCGCGTGCTGTATTCTCTGCATGGAGCGTACTTTGTGGTAAAGTGTGGTCTTTTGCTGTTCTTATCTCGTTCACTCCTCACTTAAGTACTTTTCTTTTTATCTGATGTCAAGCACGACCAAATCTGCTCCTCACCCCTCTCTAACCCCTCCGTTCCGTTCCTCCGGCAGCCGACCTGCGGGAGCCCCTGGAGCGGTACATAGCGGCCCATTTCGCCGGCCGGGTCCGCCTCCACCGTAACACAGAGCGGGAGGGACTGATCCGCACCCGTAACCGTGGCGCGCGCCTGGCTGCTGGTGCCGTGGTGGTGTTCCTGGACGCCCACTGCGAGGTCAACACCAACTGGCTGCCGCCGCTGCTGGCGCCCATACTGGGGGACAGGTGAGGACCGGCAGAGCGTGGGGGAGGGGTGCTGAGAGATCGAGGGAACCTGAGAAAGATGGGTGGCCTTTGAGAGAGTGAGTGAGCACAATGAAGTTTACCTGAAAAAAGCAGACATTTGACGCTTCAGTTCTAGCAGTAACAGGTATCATAGCGTCTAGCTCTGAGCAACATGATTCTAGCAGAAACAACGTTACATCGCCTGATTACCAGGGTAAAATGCTATAATTTTATGCGACGGCTGAAATGACAGCTTGTACTCGTGATTAGACGTTCTCTTTTTCAACCCACCCTCTCTCCCCCTCAGACATACGATGACGGTTCCGATCATAGACGGTATCGACCACGGCACGTTCCGTTACCGCTCCGTGTACCCGGGCACCTCTGTGCTGCGTGGCATCTTCGAGTGGGGTATGCTGTACAAGGAGGCGCCGGTGCCGGTCAAAGAGGCGGTGCGACACGAACACATTTCTGAGCCGTACAGGTGAGTCGGAGATACGGGGAAGGTCACGCGTGGAATGTGTAACCGTACGGTACGTGGAAGGAGGGTTGGGGGAGTTGTGGGGGCAGATGGGGACGGGGAATTGGAGGGAAGGTGCCTATGTTTTTTTTTTAATGTTGTAAGTAACTCTCCCCCAGATTGAAAATATTTATTGAAAATTTGTATCGAATGAAACTGTTTTTTGATTGAAAGGGATTTGCTGGTGACCTGTATAAAAACTATTGAGTAAATAACCCATCAATGCATACCGACAACCGAACTATCCTCAGCAGCTGCCGCGACTATTCACCATCGAGATGTCGCTAGCGTCTCCTCACCCCGCCACCGCTGCCTGCTCAGCGACTGTGTCGGCAGCAGTAGGATGGCCTGTATTCCCGGTAGAAATGACTGACCCCTGTGTCTGTACTCTCAGGTCTCCGACCCATGCCGGTGGTCTGTTTGCCATCGAGCGCTCCTACTTTTTGGAGCTGGGAGGGTACGATCCCGGCCTGCTGGCCTGGGGAGCCGAGAACTTCGAGCTCTCATTCAAGGTGAGAACGGCGGGGTCTTACTGCCGTGGGATGAGGGAATACACATGGTGAAACGAACGGATGTGGAACGGCGCTTGCCTCTGAAAGCATTTTTGCGCCCTTTACTCTTATTTTTTTTTATTTTACTTTCATTTATTGATTATTTGTCTACCTGGCTGTCCTAGCTGTCCTTTATTTCCATGTCGTGTTTTTAAACTACTGGTCAAGCGTGGTGCTGACCATGTAAAGGAGTCGAATACCCAGCTGTGACGTCCGAGCTCCAACAATATGACAACTTACCGAGTTCTATAGTGCTCCGTGGCAGCCACTACCGGCGCGGTGTCGGCAAAGTTAAAACAGGACCCGTGTCGGAAACGCCGATCAATATGTCAAGGGTGATGTTGGGAGGAGGGGGGGGGGGGGGTGCTGGATTCTTAGAGCTTTGTTCAGGCGCGCTGAAAATACCTTACACAGTGTGCAAGTATTAATTTGTTACATGTAACCTTTGCAGAATGTAAAGCCAATTAACCTACTGTCTGATGAGAATTTTTCCGAGGTGTAGATTAAGTCTGGTATTTATAATCAAGGCATTATGCTCGTCACGAAGCGTTCTTAGCTGAGGAAATGTCAACACTGAATCGGCACGTACGGCGGCTCATTGTCAGCTAGACTTGTTTGAGCAGTGCCAGACCAGACGCCTGGCAATGGGAATCCGGAATGAAGCGTTCGCTCTGGAGTTCCCCTTTGATTTCAGTGTTTATCTGGGATCGTTCGTCCGTCTCAGCTGATGCCGAAAATTACGTCATAATGCCTGATTGGATTCAATCATCTGCTGTATGAGTTGGGACTGTTGAACAACTTTCCCCGTTTATGTTACATGACTATGCAGGCAGTTTGATCTCTCAGAGTGCATTTGTCATGAAGTTTCTTTGTTTCGGTATCGTCACGACGGACAAATTTTCTCTCACGGCTTCACAACGCTATACCATGTCGCCGCCAAAATTTAAAAACCACACGACCGTATACAACCATTCCCCAGCCTTGCTGAAGTTGCTGACATAGCATGTTTCCAGCTCCCCTAACCCACCCATCCCACCGCGCCTGACCACCAGTCTCGGCGCCCGGCCGCGGTGCAGTCCGTTCCGCTGTTCCGCCCACGCGCTCTGCCCCCAGACACCCGCCGCGGTGGTCGCCGCTGTCGGAGTGCTAATGAAATTCCCCGCCACCAGGCCGGTCCATTTACGTGCCGGTATTTACGGCAGCACTGCCATTTTCGGCAGAGTGGAGCTTCCGGAACAACCGGAGCAGGCCGCCGCGCAGGAGGCACGGATTGTTTGGCTCGGCAGCCGGGAAAGGGCGCGTTAGTATATTAGCTGATCGCGCGTGGAGATAGTTTTTTTCTTTTACATATTTTTTGGGAAAAAAGAACATCGTTTTTTACCGGAAACCCTGCCTGTTTGTGTGTCTGCCCTCGTCTTGTATGTCACCGATCAACTATCATTGATCGTGCGTAGGAGTCGTGATTGGCAGCGTTTAGCCCTGACCGTACGCTGATCAGTGGCTACATATCCCGTGTCCCCACGGACCATTGACATCTAACGATAATGTCCCCCCGCATCGGTCAATTGGAGACGCGTTTTGTCTTGTATTCGACATATATCCTGCAGTGTGGCATGTTTACGAGGATTGAAGATACGTTCAGTGTATTTTCAATAATGACTGAAATTCTACACGTCGAACAACTTGAAAAATCTGAATTAACGATAAACAATGCTTTGTTTGGTTACTACTTACTTGCCTTTCATCGACAAAGGCGTGATCAACTTGCCTCGATTCCATTTGACTTCCTTCCTCTTCTTATCTGTCGCCCGTGACGTAGTCCAATTTTTCCGATATCCCAGTTTCGACTTTGTTTTGCCCTTTCGCTGCCACTCTAACCCCTCCATTCTTTCCCCAGTTATGGCAGTGCGGCGGTTCCATCCTCTGGGTGCCGCGAGGTCTCAAACCCGCCGCCTCTCTCTTCCGATAGATATGGCAGTGCGGCGGCTGTATCCTATGGGTGCCCTGAGACCACTAATCCCAGCCCCCACCCCCCCCCCCGCCTCCTCCCCCCAGATATGGCAGTGCGGCGGCTCCATCCTCTGGGTGCCCTGCTCGCGGGTCTGACCCTCCCTGCCGTCCCTAACCCTCAGATATGGCAGTGCGGCGGCTCTATTCTCTGGGTGCCCTGCTCGCGGGTCGGCCACGTCTATCGCGGTCACATGCCCTACTCGTTCGGCGCGCTCACCGATAAGGTCAAGGGACCGCTCATCCTCACTGTGAGTATCGTAGTCGCCGTCCGTTGGACGGTCGGTGATTGCCGTGATGTGGAGTATGTACCATGTAGAATGCATTGAGTTCGTGTCTTTGTGCATTTCATAATCACTAGATGTTCTTGGTGTTTTTTTAAGGTGCGTTTTGCGATTCCTGCGATAATTATGTTAATCGAAAAGAACTTGAAAATGTGAGTAAATCCTCAGCTATTCACACAGCTTTGAGTGACGACCTTATAGCGTGGTAATGGCGTCATGCCGGACCAATTACTGTTGTGACGCTTTAAAGCCTGATTTGTGGCAAGCGGTATATTCGGCTGGAGGTCGTTTTAAGCGTTCATTAACATTCTGAATTAAATCATTATGCGCTCATTTTGCATAATCATGCCGGTCTGACGGACTTGCGAAGTATTTGCATTGCCTGTTGTCAAGGTCTATAATTTCATGATAGAATTTTTATGTAAATATTTTGACTGTCAAGTGATAGTGCTATACTATGCCTCAGTATTTTCTTTGCTGTCTTAAAAAGCCTTCTTTTTCATATGATTATGTCTGTGACGATGGATTTTAATGCAGCGTTATGATTTGGCTGGCATCACGAAAAAATATCTCGCCAAAATGGTCCAGTGATACCACAGTCTAAAATGCTGTTTCAAAACTGGCACACGGTGGAGTGACCTATTGTGCGATACCTATAAATCAAAATAGTAATTTAGTGGTTTTGCATTGTATAGTTGGCTCAAAAATAGCATTTATGCTAATGCTCACGCGAAACTACTTGGATAGCATCACCCTGTAAGTCAGCCAGTGGAGACTGATATGTTCTATTTACCGAACAGTAACATATTCGACTCCGCTAATGAAATCAGTGCATTTACCAATCCCTCGTCCTCGTCTATCATTGTGCTTCCGCCGTCCAAATCAGACCATAGTCAGCCTCTCTCAAAACCGGAACTGCATCAGCAGTCGCACCAACTGATAGACCCAATTCATAAATCAATTTTGAACGCATCGGAACTCAATTCAAACTCTCAGTGTCGGCGGAAGGAGGGTCTTTCCTTCCGGCACGGCCGGGGTCGTGGAACCCTGCTCTGGGCGGCTGGAACGACTCGGAGAGTTCTGCTGCTCGAGAAAACAATATCATGGTAATGCTGCCCTGAAGTCGCGCCGCCGCCGCCCTCATGGCTACTGAGAAGTTGCCCATGAGATGTTCACGCCTACCGGAAGTCGGCGACTTGAGTAGTTTTTTTTTCTATCGATTGAGGCGCATGTGAAGAACTGTTTAGAAATATGTGGAGCTGACATGCAGCGCGCAACTGCATGTCAGCTCCACAGATTCGAGTTGCAGAGTCGTCCAGTTGGCAATTCTGCAACCTTTGAAAAGTTAACTTGTACGAAGTAACTTCACGTTGTACGAAGACAAGCACCCACCTTGGCAACTCTCGCACTATCTTGCGTCCAGCCCCCGACTTACACTTATTTTCCCACGGCAGAATTACAAGCGCGTCATCGAAACATGGTTCGACGAGCGTCACAAGGCGTTCTTCTACACCCGGGAGCCCCTGGCGCAGTACCTGGACGTGGGTGATCTGAGCGCACAGCTCGAGTTCCGACACAGTCGCGAGTGCCGCGGCTTCCAGTGGTACATGGATAAGGTGGCCTACGACCTGCTGAAACGGTTCCCCGAGCTGCCGCCCAACGCACACTGGGGAGAGGTGAGATCATGTGGAGGAAGGTGATGGGGGAAACAGTAAAAGGATCTGGGTAGAGGCGCAATGGTTTTTGAAGAAGGAAACAGTGAGTGGAGCTGTGAAGAAATGAAAGCATTCAAAGGGGAGTAAAAAAAACTAGAGAGGAGTCACTTGGAGAATCCAGAATGCAGTAAGAGAATCTAGGTAGCAGTGAAATAATATAGAAAAAATGAGAGGGTCTGGCAGGTTTATTTTGTGCTCGGCGTTTCCTCCAGTAGAATTGTATATTCAATGTACGTGATCATCCCTCCTTCCCCCTGACATGCTGTCCTATCTCCCCAGCTGGTGAGCGGCTCGACGGGTCACTGCGTGGACACCATGGGTCGGGCGGTGAACAGCGCCGTCGGCCTGTCCCCGTGTCACGGCCAGGGCCGCTCTCAGCTGCTGAGACTGAACCTGGCAGGCCAGCTGGGAGCCGGTGAGCGGTGCCTGGAGGCCGTGGAGGGGGAGGTCCATCTGACTGTGTGTCGACTGGGCACCGTGGACGGACCCTGGCAGTATGTCGAGGTAAGAGAAAGTCTGACTGTGTGTCCAGGGCCCTGACATTGTCTCAATGGGAAGGCGGGAAAATGCCTTTGTGCTCTGACTTCAGGAGCTACTAACTTAAGTATAACCCTTAAATGTTTTTGGTGGAATGAACTTGAAGCTCCTATTCGTTCGCTAGCAAGCTGCGGTGTGCGAAGCGCAGTTTTAGATACACATATATCTGCCTTATCTAAGCTAAATTCCCTCTGTTCCCCACTGCAGGATAAAAAGGCGATGTGGCACCGCCCACTGAACAAGTGCCTCTCGGCAGAAAACAGACGGCTAGTGCTGGCAGACTGTGGGATGGACGAACGCAGCCTCAAATGGACCTGGAGGACGGTCAAACCGCGATGGGCCAACAGCTAAGCTGGGTACAGCCGGGCTGATGTATGGCTGAGCCGAATTGAGGAAAGTAGGCAACTAAAGTACGTGCGCACAAATGGGGCAAGGTATATCAGACAGATAACTGAGAAAAGGGCTGAGTTACTTACTGCTGAGCTTGGAAGACACCTCAGCAGAGCTGGGTGGCCGGCCTGATCTGAGCTTAGTTCAGGTGAATGTTGAGACGGGTGGCACTGGGTACGAAGTACGGTCAATCATGGGGTATGGGGAATCGTGACGGTGGGCTGGGAGGGATGCGTTTGCAGTGGGCATCACACGAGGTTCAGGGTTATGAACAGGGCTTGTGGGGTGTGGTGGTAGATAGGTAGGGTGAATATGCCGTCATGTTTTCATCCAAGATTGGTTTGTAAATGTTCAGGGACCAGGCCAGTGGTCTAGAGGCTGAGTATTGAGACGTGTGTTTTACCTCCGGTTCTTTTTGTTTAATTCCAAAAGTCGGTCTTCTTAACCATTTTAATTTTAGCATGCCAGGGTCCGTGGTTTTGCTGGCTGAATTAGCTCACAAAGTTCTGACATGGTAAATTTGCATAACTCTAGCAATACATTTGCTATCAAACCAATCAGCAAGCGTACAATAGTCGAGGAAAACGCTAGACTCAAAATTTGACGACTTGGCGGTTATGCTGTTTTGCGTGATAAAAATGAGCTTTCGTGGCATGTACCGCGTAATTCAACAATCTGTTTAACAGGTTATTTATACGTAGCTGATGTGATAAGGGACAAATTTGATAGTCGTTGTAAGTTGCATTGTCTAACAGCTGTTCTCCACATGCTATTTTCCTTAAAAGACACCGGGCGATGTTTGAAAATGTTGAATCGCTTCAAAATTGGTCACGTCAGTTTACATCATCTGATTTGAAGACTTATAACCTTACCTGACTGAGTTTCGCACCGATAATGCTGGAAGAGACACTCTACTATGCCAATGTTTCGGGGAGCAAATTTCTGACCATATAGCACAAAGACTTGGGCGAAGCACCGAGTTCTGATGCTACTGCTGAGACTTAGAGTGTTAATTTTGCACTGAACTGAGATTCGAGTCACAAAGCTTTGGTGATGGAGTGTCCGTCGCTTTTATTGGTTTCATCGGGCGTTGTAGGGTCATGTCCTGTGCGTTCAGAATACCTACCTGAATAGTATTCGAGCCAAGACATTTGGACCATTGCTTGCCATCTGCGAGATGGGCTGATACACGGTGCCAGTATCATATGTCAGTGATAGCGCTATATGTATAGTAGTGCCAGTAGTGCCTGTAGTCACTCGTGTCCATCGTTGATAGTGCCTATAGCTGTCAGTGTTTGGTGTGCGCTACTATGTGCAGTCACGCTGTTAGTAGTTCGACCACACTATGCAGTGGTATATATAATGTCGAGAGGCCTGGCTTCAGTGAGCTCCACATAGCGCAATCGCGGCGGCCCGGGCGGGGAAGGAGTTACAGGGTTGTTTTGTACTGTGCAGATGGGCCACTGGGGTCCAGGCTTTCCGTTGTTGTGAGTTTGTAGTGGTCGTTGAGCACCGCAGTCACAAGCCATAAGCACTGGGCTGTGTACTATCGTCTGGTTTGTAATTGGGCTTGTGTTGCGCATATCCTGTGCAGGGCTCTTTGGGAAAATGTCTGAGATTGGTAACGTGGTCTAGTCGCTGAGATGACTTGTGTTTGTTTTGGTTTAGCTATTTTTTTGGTTGGTGCTGGTCATCTTTTTGCTGGTGTTTGGTTAGATAAGCAGCTGGGTTTTGTTACATAGCTCGATATCTGCCTATAATAGTAGCCAGAATGTGCTGCTCTAGGCGTATTCGATGCATCGATACTGCTGTGATCTGGGGCATTTTTGGGCACAAACTGGGGTTGGGTCGCTTGGGGGAACAGATGTGGGACTAGGAAGACACATTCCATTTAAACCGACGCACAGCAGTTTGCTTTTTTGCGTTTGTTCTCATTTCTTGGACCATCTATCCGTCAGATATACTTAAATCCCGTTTTGTCGTTAAATTAGTCAAGTGAGATACATCATCAGTGCCTTGAGTAAATTAGTGTCCTTTTTGGCAACGATTACTAGTCAATGGTGTGATAGTGGGTTTTGTTTTAGCAGTCTTTGGCAAGTGCTCTAGTATTGCGGAGGTATGTGGACCTTACGTCGGATATTTAATGCGGGTCGAGTCGTTGCAATTCGCTGGTGCGGGCTGGTTTGGCCATTCTAGTGCCGCTCGTCATATGTTGTCGGATATTCCTGCCGTCTTGTTTAGCTCATTGCCTGAATTTTAAATCGCTGATAGATGGAGCCATTCCCGTGGACCGTGGTGTGGATTTCCACGGATGTTGTTCATGTGTAATTTGTCACTGCTGGTCACTCACGCTCGGGCTTGCATGTTGTGTTGTTTTCACGGGGTTTTGTTCGGTGAATTACGGACATGTGATATGTTGTGATGCTGGTTCAGTCCATACGTGCATAATACATTCACTGGGGTTTGGACACAGTTGTCTGTTTTATAGTAGCGAAGTAGTCGGCAGAGTGCAGTGGCTGACCATCTGTCGGGGTACATATATCGGTGCGGGTCGGTATAAGACGGCGGATCGCTGACGCCGGACGGTGTAGATGTCGCTGTCGTCAGGGCGAGCGGACCATTATTTCTAGTTGATGGTATTTGCTTTCCAACTTAATAGTTATTGTGCTTTCAAATTTCTTACTTGCTCATACGTTTGGAGCAGCCTTCTTACGGTCGGTCATATGAATATGGATATGAATCAATTATCAAAGATACTTACGGATGATAATGCTGCACCTCAATGACTGGTCAACTGCAGGACGCTTCTCTTTCGAATCGCCTCTGGGAATCAGCATTGCCAGGTCTACGGGTATACGAATCTGCGAATTGTTAGGCCAACTTCAGAACCGCTATACTTGATAGAATGCTACCTATATGAAATAGATGCTTCAACAATCACCAACCTTCCAAGTGCCTTCACATCCCAATCGCTCCCCTCCTCAACGTCTACCAATCGTATCTACGTAAAACGACCGTCCCGTGCCGCTGTACCTGGCACGACGACCTCACCCGTCCCACGGCACTCCGATCAATATCCAGAACTTGCCGCGCTCCGCCTCGCAGTCTACCGACCCTCCCAACCACTCCCGACCCTCCCGACCCTCCCGACCACTCCCGACCTTTTCCTGCTGAGTGCATGGGGCGCACAACCGCCGCCGGGCACGCGAGTGTGACGCGTCACGGCCGCGCCGCCCGCAGACAATAGTGACGCCCGTGTGACGTGCCGACGCCCTCCGGTAGATTGGCGTTGACGTCGCGATGGGACGATATTGTCGTCGGTCACGCAGACTGTGGGGAGCGGTGACAGAGGTCACTCGGGTGGATTCAGGGGGCGTGGCTGGGGTCAGGAACTCGTAGCACGATTTGAACTGTGTGAATTATAGTTAGCGTGCAAAAAAAAACGTACAAGTAATTGACAAACTTCCTTACCAGTCTCCTACAAAAGTCACGTCAGATTTGTTATGTCAGGGGAGCTGGAGTCACCCGCGATCTAGTTTTTAGATTATCTGGAGGCTATGGAACGGGCATACAGCTACAACGGGTGCAATCGTGCAATCTTTTGGCTCGCACTGCTAGTAGCATCTCCATCGGCCCATGAGACATCCTATAACCCAGCTGATACGACTCTGGGTGACTCGAAATGTTCCTGTTTCAAACTTCACTCAGTTCGTGAACGGTTCCGTGACCGCCTCTGACCCGACCTGCACTACCTGGCACGGCTGTGACGCCTGTGACGGCTCGTGACGCTCCGCCGCCGTGACGGCGTGAGTGACGTGACCCCGTGACCGGCGTCACGCACAGTGACATCGTGACGATTACATCACGCAGTGTGGCGGGGATAGAGAAGGAAAGGAGAGGCACAGACTGGTGTGAATGTCGTGAAACGGCTAGTTTGGAAATAATGCAGTACATTTTATATTCAGCTATATAGCTTATCCACTGCATGACATTCATTCATTCATTTATCCATTCCTTTATCTTCTTCCTTTATTCAATATTTAATCATTCAAGCAACCACACTTATTCATGTAATTTTATCAGTCCCTCACTCATTCCTTTATCATTCATTCATTCAAACACTTTCAAGCATTCACTCATTCATTCATTCATTCATTCATTCATTCATTCATTCATTCAGCCATTCAGCCATTCATTCACTTTGTTATATATCCAATCCCACTCATCTATTCTATCATTCGTCTATTCTTCCGTCACAGTACCGCATGTACATACTCGTACGGTACTTCTCGTACGGTACTACTCGTACGGTACTTACAGCCATGGGCCCGTAGCCACTCGCGAACGGCCATCCATCCATATCCTTCAACTTGAAACGGAAACCAGCCTCATCGACGCCCACCACACTGCCAATGGATCAACATGGTAGCTGAGCAGCCAATCACCAAGTTGTATCACACGCCTACTCATGACGTCAAATGACGTCACAGACCCACTCAAAATAGTCCCGGCGTCGCTATTCGCATCGCCGACGTGGGTGCTCATGGATGCTCAATACCTAAAAATGGAATCAATATGATAATCACCAATAATGTATGAATGGTTATGGTCATCGGCTAAACTAGCCATCAAAGCAGTAATGGCTCCTCACCGTTTTGGTCCAAGCCGCGTAGCTCTTTTGCTCATTGCAAGTCGTACTGGTATGTCAAGTGAATTTATTTATTTAACCCGGCGTACAGTGATCGATGAATTTAACTGATATGGCAAGCACGGTGACCAGTTTACATAGAGCATGGAAACATTGAACCCCTAAATAAAATAGGCCCAATTCTGTCAATTCCATTTAACGATCGAACTTATTTTTTCCGTTTGCCGTTTAGACAGCATTGTTTCCATTACACAATCTGTTTCATGCCTTTCATTTTATGCTCACAAGCTTCCGGAGAGCCCTCTCGTTAAGCCCAATTATCCAGGTTCTTCCCAATTTCAGCGAGCGAGAGCATGCTCTTCGCAGTCAGTCGCTCCGGAGTTTGGCTTTTCCGGCGCTGGCATTAGCCTGCATAATGCGCTCGGTGCGTGTCGGCTTTACGAAGCTCGCCGAATGGAGACGATTCCGACGCGCCGAATAGGTAATCTGGCGCAGCGTCGCAGGCGCTGTCGTCGCCGTGCAGTGTGGGACCCTGTCGGTTCTGAGTCTGCTTCTGACACGACAATAGGAGGCCGGAACCACTGCCGGCGCTCGGCAGGGCTGAGATGGGGCGGGTGTGGTCGGACGGTACAGCGCTGCCCGCAGCAGGGGTCACGGCAGAGACAGCGGCCGTGATGGGGATCTGATGACGGGGTGGACTACAGAGAGATGATGACGGGATGGGCGGAGTGGGTGGACGACTTGAGGAGCGCATGACGATGAGGCCCAAAGTTCAGATAGTGAAGTTGTCTAATAACTAAGTTTTCGGCGTTATTTACGTATGAACGTGTACGCTCTACATCCATGAAGTCAACCTATCGTCCCACGCTGCATTTTCTTTGTTAATTTCCGCTGGGATTTTCAGGCAGACATTACAGCATGTCCAGAGTCACCCACGTACACAAGCACACACCCAACTGCAGCTAGCGGTCCTGTTCCTGTCGCTCAGTAACTGTCCGGTGCGGTGTAATTTCCACGGTTATAATACCGCCCTGCCACGGTTCAGCCTTGTATTCCATGACTGTTCGACCCACCAGCCGGCAGGCCCGTCGGCCGCCCGATAACGGCATCAGACAGCACCAATTTCAGCGGCGATTTGAGCACGCGCACGCATATTACGTCGTCGGTGAACGGAGCGGGTCGGAGCGGGACGGCAGAACGGAACGGTATTCTCGGGCAGAGCGGAAGGCTGGGACGGAAAGAAATTCTATAGGAAGGAATGCTTGGACGAGCTGGAATGCCTAGGTAGGACGGAATACTGTCTTTTTACGGATTAAATGTTGGGATGAAATTGACGTTTGGACGAAACTGGGCGCATATAGGGAAGCGTGATGTTGAAGAGAAAAGGATGTTGTACGGGCCAAATGCTCTGACAAGACGTAAACATTTAACATCTAATAATGTTACGAAATAAAAAAGGAAAAATAATGACCCTTCGGCCTTCATCTGGATGGACCTTTTAAAAAGCATGTAACTACATACTTTTATTTCGCAGTCATACCCAGGAGACGAGCAGCTAACAATCACCCTAGTTTCCCACTCAGTATAATCCCTTTATCCGTCCGTCGGCACTCGGGACCCTCAGTTGTGAGCCGACACCTCGCGCACGGGTGGCGGGCGGCTCAGTCTCCCACGCAGATTCATCGATTGAGCGCTCAGGCTCACTGCGCCCACAGTCTCTGCTCGCTGCTCAGTTTTATTCTCACATTTTACTCCTCACCGCTGACTCTTCACCCATGCATCAATGTTCATTGTTCAGCTTAGTCTTACTTTACAACGAACGGGAGGTCTTCTCGCTGTTGCCCTTGGCCTCTGAACACAGCTAAGCATCGGATTTCACTCACACCCTTTTTTGCCAGCTGTTTTCGTTTTTAGATACCTATATTCCTTTAAATATATATTCCTTATATTCCTTGCTTTCCGGGAAGTGACTGCAACTCAAACTGGGGAGTTTTAGTGGCTTTCCGTGTTCTCGGAGCTGTTTACAACACCCGTTGTTCTGGATATTATAGTGGGTTTAATGAATGCTACCGTTTTAGAGTGTTTGTCGACTTTGCAATGGTGTGCCAAAGCGTGTGCCAAAGCGTTTTGTCGACCTGCAGGCTAGCACGACACATTACAAAAGTTGCCATTATGTCAAGATGACGCAATGAAAAAGTCGCTGCTATATTGCAGCGTAGGTATGAAGGTAAGGAAGAAATTGGGCATGCCTACAGCTACAGCCGGCAGTTGAGGCCAATTTATGACAACGAAATGACAAATTGCAAAGCTCTCCAACAATGGCAACTAAATAGCATTTCAATAGATAACATTTCAACTAAATAACATTCTACCTCGTGCATCCGTTGTAAAATATTCAAGATAACAGCTTGGTGTTACTTTCTTGTGTGTTCGCATCACTGTGTGTACTGCGGCACAGTCTAATACTGGGAACTGCAACGCAGGACGCGCTCCTATCTGGTGGCTGCGCGACGCGCCGCTCTCAAGCTGACGTTTGTTTATTTGAAAGCGTGTATTAGATATATCGAACATTGACGACTGGTGCCTAGCTATCTGTTATTCACCATTGGTGCAGCGGAACATTGTGTTCATTTGTGCTCTATTTGTCAACTTTCTAGGATCTCTCATGATGTGAAGTTATTCATTAATTATGTAAGTACATAATTGCCGGTATTGAAACGTTGAGTTGAGCATTGTTGATAAGATTATCAGGAGTATGAAAAATAACCTCTTGCTCATATCTGAAGGAATTTAAAAATTAAAGACCAATATATACTTTGCTCTTTGCTCTCTTGTTCCATTGTAACACTGTACCACTGAGGAATCCTGATACATAATTGCCGTCCATTAGTTTCGAATTATGTAAGCAGGTACATAACAATGATGCAGGCTAGGTACCTACCCATTTGGTCAAGAAAATACGACTCTCGAACTTTGTACCTGAGACGCTCTGGGCAGAATAACGTCCAGACTGGACACTCGGACAGGCACTCGCCTATCTAGAGTGCCCTCCCGGCGGCACTCGGCCGGCGGTGACCTTGACTATCCAGCTGAGCGGTCGTCCGTGCTCGGGAATGTTGCGTGTCGGTATCGGCGGCGTCATCGCCCCTCGCTCCCCCTCCCCCCCCCCCCCCCCCCTGAGTGCCGTCTTGGAGTCACTTACGAGCCGGCCGGCCCGCGCCGCCGCCATCGGTCCATCTAGCGCCCGTTTGAAGTCAAAACCGGTTTACTGGTCGCTTCGGTACGCCTCACTGGGGTGGGGGTGGGGGGGGGGGTGGGGGGGTCCTGGGCGACCCAGCCCTGCCGCGCCCGCGCTGGTTCGTGCCGTGCGGCCGGTCTCCGACCCTGCTACCCGCTGAGTTCCAACCGCAGGAGCGCGTGGCACGCCGCGCAGCAGACTGTGCGGAGTCACGCTGCTCACGAGGGGTGGAGTCTCTCGTGGAGTCTCTCGTAGAGTCAGTTCGTGGAAATCCGTCTGAGACAGCGGAGGGGAGGTTCCGGAGTTGGTAGCTCTGAAAGAGAAGGTCGGTATGTGGACGCCGGCCAACTCACATCGTTAGTTGCGCTGGCCCGGGGGAGAGTTGACTCACCGAGTGACCTCCTCTGGCCCTCTGTCCGCTGCAAAAACGCCCACGGAGTTCCGACTCAGGATGTCCGGGTCTGTCCGATGACGGAGCCCGCGGCTAAGGATGGCGCCGCGTGAGGCCACGGTGACGCTGAATGCAGACGACGGACGATGTGTAGGAATCTGGTGACACACCGCTGCATTTTAAACACTGCTCGGAATGTGTGCGACAGCATGGGACATTGTGGTAATCGTATAGTGTTACCAAATTGCTCACCCCACTTCATGTCGCTGGATTTCTATTTTTTAGTATCCAGATGGACAGAGCCATGCTTGATACCTATATCATATTATGCTTCTGAAAAAAGGACTACTAAATTCCGCTACTCGCTCTGAAAAGAACCTCGTATCTCATCACATCACTAAGTTCCTTGGAACTGGGTATTTCTCGGCGTGGTGACATCTGAGACATTTTTATCCGGCGACTAAGCGACTACTGTTCCTCACACTTAGCGCGGGGGTCAGATTACGGCGCTTGTCGGCGGCCATTTCCGCAGCGCTGCCTCTCGAGCTGCTCTGACGGTTATTCCACTTGACACTCTCCAAATCGGAGGATATGGCCGGCACGTGAGAACGCTTCCATTATGCATTCCACACGCATGGCCTGGCGGCAGGCTGTCGCAGAGCCAGCGGCGCCGCAGCCTGTTGGGATATTTGCGTTTTGGCTCGGGGGCGGCGGTGGCGACACTTCTTCCCCGGGTCACGTGCTCTCTGCCTCGCTGGCAGTCCTCTGAGGCGTGTCGGCGGCGTCAGACACTTTCACGCACGAGCTACCCCCCACGCGCACCTGTCACACCCGTCATCGCACCTGTCACACCCGTCATCGCGCCTGTCACACCCGTCAGCGCGCTAGGAAGACATCGGTCGTCACTGCTGAGATGATAACGGGAGGGAGAGGAGGAGGAGTGGCACGTGCGGCAGAGTGGAGAGGGACTGGTGCCGACACTCCCAGACCCGCATGACACACTAGTCACTGTCAAAGAGTGCGCTAGGCAGAAGCTAGGAGAAACAATGAGCAGAACACACTCGAATGCCACGGAGTAGGCAATAGGTACCTACCATTGCAGTTGCATTTATGCAATAACTTCACAATAAATACCTACCGGCTACCTGTGTACCTCTACTAACTACGCTACACAACACTTGACCTATACCTATGTTATAACACTCTAACAACAACAAAAAAGGAGGCAGTTTGCTGTTACGTGACCGGATACGAAAAACGGCCGGTTCTTGTAAGCACCACATGCTGTGTGGCCCGTGTCAAAAACCCCGATTGGTTTTTGGCGTGCCTTTCGGCGTGGCCTCGCCCTCAGCATCTGTTCGATATCAATCACGACCAGCGCCTCTGTCCTGCGCCCAAGGCTGACTCGCGCCGACTCGGCCGTTTTTACCCCCACATCACCGCCTGGTGCCTCCTCACGGCGGTCCTTTCGATTGTACGGCCCATTTAGGGCGTGCGACAAGCGCTAATTACCCATCGCACGCAGAGTTTTTGCCCACGCTATCTGATTATGTGCTTGTACGCTCAATTAGTTACGCATAGACGTTTGGACGGGAGGACCAAAATATGTGGGACCCTTTTACTTTGTGACCGAAAGTTTTCACTGAACGGGATTTTGAAGGGAATTCAAAAGTAGTTATCAAAGATCTTCAATAATGAATTGCATCGATTTTTTCCAAGAATGACTGGAATTGCCGTTCAACGAGCGAAAGTGAAAAGTTTTGCTCGTCCCCACATGCTTTTAATTTGTGATACTCCAAACCTACCAGTCAATGTCTCCCGAATTTCATACCTATTCATAAAATGTAGCGGTTTTAAGTCGTTTAGCCCTTGGGCTTTGTCCCAGATTCATCGTGAAGATGTCACCAAGCAGAGCTTCTGGCCTCCATAATCTACATTTACGTCACATCATTCTACGCTCAACGATACCCTACATCACCACCACAAAAAATCGCCACAAAAAAACGCCCGGTTTCCTTCCCACGGCTCTGGCGTCACGGGAGGTCCGGTAATTACGAGCTGGCCGGCCCGCGGTCGTGAGGAGTGCCGACGCCGTTCTCCCAGTCGCCGGGCGCGGACCCATCTCGTTGCCACGCGGAGAGGAGGCCGTTGGACCGGCGCGTCCCGTCCCGGCGTCTTGGCGTCTCACCGGCTAGCGTCCGGCGTCACTGCATCATGACGCCGATTTAAAGCTCGCCCCGGCCGCGGCGGCACGCGAGCTCAGGGGCGGCGGCGGCGTCCCCGCCATCCCGAGATGGCATCAGCTCGCGGCGCGATCAGCGTCCTCCGCCGCGCGGGGCCGCTGGCCTCAGATGAGCGGACCCGCCGCCGCCGCGGCTCCGGCGATCGATACTGCCCGACACTGGGAGGCCGCCGGCGGACCTCCCCGGCGTACGGTCCGCGGTTTAACCGCCGCCCCAGACGGCGAGGTCGCGCGCGAGGGCGCCTGAGATGACGGCACAGCCGGCCGCTGCGCCCGCGGCGCTCGCGACGAGCCGCAGATTCACCGTGAACGAATACCTGTCGATTTGAACGGAGCCGCCGCGCCGAGCGCCGCCGCCGACAGCGCCCCTGGCGGCAGCGTGGCGCACTAGACTGCCATTCGGCGAGCGGCAGTCGCGCGGTGCGCCGACAGCCGTACCGCTTGAGCCGTGCCGGGGAGAGGACGTAGCCGCGCCGTGCTCCGGACGGACGTGGCGTGCGGGCCGCGAGTGAGCGCCGGTGGTGACCCGAGCTGACCCGACGTGCGGTGGTGTGTCGCCGCGCCTGTCTGGTGATCTTTCCCACGTGGATCGTCTGTTGTAACCGGAACCGCCCGCAGCGCTGTGCCGGGAACTCCGGAGAGTGCCCACGGGACGCGGCGGGCCGCCTGCCGCCTGCCGCCGCTGCCACCGCCAACTGCTGGGGATGTCGACAGACTGCCAGGTAGGTCAGCGCAGACTCGCTCTCTGCGGCGGTCAGCGCGACCGTGACCGTGACCGGCGGTCAGACCGACCGGACCGGACCGGGCGGCTCCGGCAGTGTCGCCGGTCCGCCGCCGCGCGCGGCACGCGGTCCCTGCAGCCGCGCGGACCCGTCTGACCGCCGCGATCACATCAGCGCCGCGTTAGCGCCTACAACACGGCTGACTCAGCGCCGGCGTAAAGCCGCTCACAGCCCGGGGTGGGAGGGGACAGCGTGGGATCGCTGGATACATGGGATTGTTGCGTGGGATAGCCCGCCAGTCAATGTCATGTGTCTATCTCATCCTCCCCTCCCCCTCCTCTCTCGACCATGACCACCGCCGTCCGCCAACTCCCACCACAATCTCACCAAGCAGCACACCCAATGCACGTTGCACATTGCACTCGTCGCCCTCTCATTGCACGGTGCCGGGCTGCGGGCAGCGGGTTGGAGTGCCCTCGGAGGGGGCCGTTGACCTCTGGCGGTCTCTCTCGCCGGCCCAGCGGGCGGCACCGGCCGGTAGGAGCCCACAGAGGTGGACGCTGTCTGCCCTTCCGGCCGGTTCGGGGCGCGGTGACGCCCTCTCGTGCACGCCCTGTTCTGTACGTTCTGTACGCTGCAGACCAAGCCCTTATTGTTATGTAGAACTGCAGATAGGTGACGGGCTGAGTCTGTGAGGTGTCACTGTGCTCGGTTGAATGTAATTGTACCGGTCTCGTGGTTGGAGCGAGCGTCTATACGTAGTTTCTGTACGGGCTGCCAGTACGGATTGTCTGTTGGGTGTGTCTGTACCGATTCTTGTACGGGTGCGTAATGTGTAGGTATAGGACATGTACTAGAGTTGCAAAGTTTTCCCAATGGGCTGCTACCGGCACCGCCCCGCCCCACAAACATTTTCTGGGATACCGGCATGCTACCACGCCCCAAGCAAAAAAATCGCCAAATTACCGGCATACTAAAAAACCTGCATTCTTGATTCTGACTTACCCCTACATGAGATGCCACATTTTGGCAATTTCAGTAACCGCCCCACCCAACAGCCACCCATTGTCCAACTTATTACAATTCAATAGCCTCTTAGTGTCCAAAGTTTGAATCATATGCTGATAATTTTTTGTGCAAAATCAAAAATACCGGCATGCTACCGGCAAGACATGCCAGATACCACGAAAAAATCTGCGGTAGTGAAAAATTACCGGCATGCCGGTAGTGCGGTAGGGAAATTTTGCAACTCTAACATGTACCGTGTGTGTATGAGTCTGTACGTCCGTATCATGTGTATGACCTCGTGTCTGCCCTCGTGTCTCTCCCGCTGTCCGCTGTCCGTTGTCCGCTGTCCTCTGTCTACTGTCTGCTGTCTGCTGTCTGCTGTCTGCTGTCTGACGGGCCCGCTGCAGCGTGTGTCAGGTGCGGATAATGTGTGGGGCCCGGTTACGATGGAAAACCAAACAGTATGTAACCGCTGATGTAGTATTGTGGGTCTGCATGGGGATATATAGTGTAAATGTGTGGGTTTGTAGAGGCGTGTCTCTCCCCCTCCATGCTCCACTGTGTGTTGTCTGCTGTTGGCTGCAGCGTGTGCCAGGACTCGGATGCGGGCTCTGTGGGGTCCGGTGACCGGGTGACAGTGACACCGGTACCATTGGTGTAGATCGTCACCCCTTTACAAAGGGGTGCACATCCACAAGTGGATGTGCAGGCGTCAGTCGGGGCTTCATCGGACACGATCGGACCAGCCATGGTGCGTTGTGGGACGTACCGTGTACGATAGATTTCGTTAACAGCGGTGCTTACGTGTGCGGTGTGATACCTTGATGCCATAATTCGTCGCGATTGAAAGGCTGCAGTCCGTATTTTCAGTTCTGTAAGTCCACACTAAAAAGAAATATAAATGAGACTATCTACATACACAGATCTCTTATTTATGCTGTCTATTGAATGAAAATCAACTCTAAAATATGAGCAAGCAAGAATATGAACCTGTTACAACGATCACGTTTGTAATTTTACGTGACATTAGTTGATAACAATCCCGTTTTATATTTTCATCCCGATAATGTGTCGATTTGTTCCAATCGGATGAAGTGTTTACCTGCCCGCGTCTATTCAGTGTAAGCCTTTAATCGTCTCTTTCTGGGACCAACATGTGTGCCGAGCCGGCCTGTTGAAATGTTTACCAACTGCTCTACATAGGAGCTAGGAGGACGGTACGCACTTTTGGAAACCGCTTGAGCGAATCATCCCAAGCTCCAACTCAACTGAGCACGGCCTGCAAACCACATTAATCCTTTGCTGAAAGGACCAGATGGACGCATAACTGAGGGTAATACCAAAGCTCCGTGACGCACGAGGCGAGAGGAGAGCTTTCGAGAGAGCGAGAGTGCAAGATACGCACGAGGCGAGAGTGCATCTGCTGCCAGACACGTGCGATCAATATTCGCCATTGTCCCTATCCCTGCCCGGCGAGAGGAACGTCGGTTCTCCCTCGGCCGTTGGCGCCCACAGGTGACGGTTGCTAATGGACCTCTCGAGGAGAGGGAAGGCGGCTGTGTGCCTCAGACACCTCTGAGTGCTCCTGTGTGTGGGAGCGAGCCGAGGCAGCTGCCGGTCCAGCCGCCCGTCCAGGCTGGAGAGCACCAGACACGAAGATCCGGGTGTGATTCGTTCATTAGTTGGCTGCAACAGAAAGGCTTGATGAGCTTCCATACAGTGAGGGTTCCCGTAAAGAAGTGGGCAGGACGTTTGGATCTCCATACGTGGAAGCGAATGAGCCGACGCCAAATGAGTAGCTTTGTTCCGCGACTGCCAGTCTCGAGAACTAATCAGACTCGGGTGCCGAGCCGCCCACTGAAATCCAACAAACACCGAACGCAGCGTGATGAAACGGCCCAAAATTTGATACCGCGGCCCCCGGAAATGCGCCAGAGTGAGTGAATCGGGATGAAAACGGATGCGGTAATGTATTCATCATTAGCTCTGAGCGGGGCGCCGTTTTCGTCGCTCTCTTTCGGCGGAGTGCGGACTATGAAGCGGCGCCGGAATGGCCTCAAGTGCGGCGATACTGCCTCGTTTCGGCCGGATCATCACCCGATGTGCGGTAATGGTAGGACCTCAGCTCAGTCCGTGCCGATACGGGGGTCTCCAGTCGGTTTATTATCCACCTAAGCCGATTGACTGGCCACTACTGCGTTTGATGTCGGGGAGATTACAGGAGGACACCGCCCGTAAAGTTATCCAATCAGAATATGGAGCACGGGCAAACACTCGGCGCTAAGTTATGCCGTCTGGGATCAATACGGAAATGCTTGATCTTGGATTCGGAGATTCATGGGCGTCCAAACGGGAAATGTATCAGGCCATCGATAATTTTATGAGTTCTCAATTGTCGTGTTATGTCAGAAGATTTCATTCACATGATCTTTGATATGAAATTACATGATAGATTCACAATTAGATGTCAAATGAGAGTCGTTTTTCCTCAACAACATCCGACATGTTGAATTGAACTACACCTTGCATAATGTTTTAAAAGAAAGTGGCGAGATTACCTACATACCTACCAGCAATACAACAACACTCTTTGTCACGTAGTCGAACGGTGAACCCTACTGGGAATCGAACCGAGCCTTCATTACTTGGTATTTCTTGTGACACGGTACCGGTGCAGCTATGGCAACCCTATAGTTGAAAAGGACTATTGCAAGCTGCTCCACTCTGGTTATTAGACTCAAACGAAGCAAAAACTAAGCAATAAAGACGTGCCGGTGTGAACAACACATGCTTCAGAGTCAGATAATAACTGTTGGCAAGGTAGCAGCTGCATTGTATCTCAATGGGTCCTAGTAACAACTTTTTGTCTTTCGTGACCTACCTGGATTTGATGCTGACATCAAGCAGGGCTAGCCCACCTTATGACGTGCGCAGGCGCTGATCCCCGCTAGTGTCACTCGGGTGATAAAACTCGAAAAGTCTTTGGATTTTGTAATCCAACCGTCAAACACTGCAATCACTGCGTCCGGCCGCGGAGACGATCGGACCACCGGACACACATAAGCACGGTCACATATGGCGTGGTCAGGGACAGGCCATATCTCTGCGGCTCCAAGTTTCTGGAGCCGCTCTAATTGATCGTAGATCTCACTCGGTGTCGTACGACCGTGAGCCACTCGCCGGCCAAAACTCCAATCGTCGTGAAATATCACGGCGCACGAGTCTCTTAAACCATCGGTCCGGTGACCGTCTCGGAATTAAGCTCGCTGGCGGATGCCGGCGGAGCTTTGGTGTCGTTCCGAAGCCCCGCAGAGTTCCACCGGGCGTCGGCCGTTCTGTGAAATAGTGTTGCGCGTGTTTGATGGGAATCACGTTGCCAGGCTGGCTAGCGGTCGCCGGGGGAACGTCTGGCCCAAGTATCGGAGACAATATCATCCCCGCCCGCCGTCTATCTTGTCCCAATTCCAGGCAGCGCCGCTTACGGGGAGCCATAAACTGCGACCACAGTTTCCCTATACTCACACTACAAATTGGCTGCGGCGGCGGTGGCGCGGTCGCGACGCTGCCGGCGCGGCGGCGGGTGTGGGCCGGTCGTTGGGCCCGGTTCCACGGCTCCGGGGCGGTAAACATGCCTGGACCGCCGCTCGCCGGTGTTCCTCTAATGAGATGCCCTTCCGGGAGGCACACCACGGTCATTATCCGCAATGGACAGCGCTAGTTTAGGATCTCGAGCTGCCGCGCGCACCGATTTAATCTCGCCGCGCCGTGAAGCACACCGTGCGGCGATTGTGGCGCGGTGGAGACATCGCCGACGCGCCGACCGGTCAGTCGACGTGGGAGGGACGTCCACTGATGACCCGTCCCGCTCGAATGGATAACGGAAAGGCGCTGTCCGCGACACTCAGTCGAGCGAACTGCGGCGCCGGCGGGGGGCCGCGGGGCGTGCGGCCGCACGCGCCCTCCATGTGACGCTCCGTGACGCCCCGTGACGC